CACATGACTTTTCTATCTAGTTATTTCAGGCTTTTTCCGGTTATTTTGTACAACCTGTATTGCAGCCCTGTGTACACCGCTGAGGAACCCACAGAAGAAGAGGTAATAAAAAATATTTCAAATATGAAGAACAATAAAAGCCCCGGATCAAACAAAATTGCCGCAAAGAACCTAAAATATAGAGGAAAACAACTAATAACACAAATAATACAACTAATCAAAGAAATATGGAAAGCGGAAGAAATGCCACTAAATTGGAGGAAAGCAGTAATACTGCCAATATATAAGAAAGGGGACCTAGCAGACTGTGGAAACTATCGAGGTATAGCTTTGCTGGACGTTACATATAAGGTATTAGCCACGTTAATAAAAAGAAGAATAGAAGTAGAAGGAGAAAAAATTATCGTAGAATACCAACAAAGTATATTAACCGTTTAGTAGCGACAGCTGGGGAACCGAATTCCAGTGCGCCGACGCGAAATAGAGAGGCGAGACGTCTTCTAAAGATGTAAACAACCCCTTTCACTTTAGTCCGGCAGCTGATATAGGAATTCGTTGTTGTGGATTTATTAGTCAAAAATTGTATTCAGCGACATGTTTAAACAACGCGAGATTTAAAGTTTGAGACAACTCAATTAATAAATAAGAAAATTCATAAGTAATAATTTCTATTGTTATCAAAAATCAAAACCCTGTGCACCTACCAACTTTCAAGTCTCTAGCTCATCCGGACGTAGGTAAAAAAATTGAAATTTATCAATAGTGATATATATTTTTATATTTACTACATAAGTTAAATACTCTATGAATATAAAACTGCCTAATGACCAAACCTTTATTATTTATTTATTTAATAAAAATCCAAACAGGCTTAACTAGCCTAATTACATGGATAGTATAATTTAAGTAATTTTTTACAGGTGACATAATATTAAAGTATTTTAATTGCAGAGGATAAATCACTTTAAATGGTAGAATTAAATAATTTTAAGAAATTTTACATGTTTTTAAAGTAGTTGTTATTTATATTATTTAAATTCCAAAGGTATCGAAGCAAAATATTATCAACTTTTTAAATTGTATTAAAGACAGTGACCAATCTAAGTTTACTATAGTATTAATATTATTGGCCAAACACAGAATTGAATAAAGTGGAGAAGCAGCAGAGTTTTGTATTATAAATGTAAACTACAAAAGAGTTTTACATCAAATTACGTCGAGTAGTGTAAACATCACATTCAAGACCAGTTCATAATTCGAGCAGTGTTTTACTGTGTCGTTCCGTCAATAACGTCAAAAGAGAGAGAAAGAAAATTTGCGCCACCCAAGATCAAAGGTACCGACGCTTTGTCGCTACTCAACGGTTAATATAAGGTGCGTTTTAATCGTCCGCTTCTGCTTCGGAATTGTCGGTTTTCTTGTTTTAATCTGACAGGTTAAAACGACTAAACCGACAATTCCGAAAGCAGAAGCGGATGATTAAAACGCACCTATACTTTGATACCAATGTGGCTTTAGAAAAGGCAGGTCAACGACTGACCGAAACCTTTATTTTAAAACAGGTACTCACATGTTGCTACGAATACGAAATATCGACACATATTAGGTTTATTGATTTTAAAAGCGCCTATGATACAGTAAATCGACGAAATGCTTTGAAAGAACTAAATATACCTCTTAAACTTATAAAACTGACGAACATGATCCTGGAAAATACAAGGTGTGCAATAAGAGTAGGAGTAGGAGGTGAGGAAACCGAAGAATTTGAAGTCCAAAATGGGCTTAGGCAAGGAGACCCATTATCCACCCTTCTTTTTAACTTAAGCCTTAAAATAGTCATCAAAAACAGTGAAATAAACAGATATGTAACCCTGATCAACAGATCCCATCAAGCATTAGCATACGCAGATGATGTACTGTTAGCGAGAAGCCAAAAAGAACTTAAAAACATAACAGAACAGTTATTAAACGCGGCAGGAACAAAGGGGCTAAAAATAAATGAAAAAAAGAGTCAGTACATGCAACTGAAAAACAAACATTAAAAAAAATCCTGGAAAACTAGAATTACAAACTAAAACCATAGGAAAAATAACAATAGATGAAATAGACAGTTACATGTACCTTGGTGTTCTCATTACAAATAGATGTGAAGAACAAGCTGAAATAGATCCCCGTCTAGCAAAGAGCAATAGATGCGCAGGAGCTTAACATAATTTACTTAAATTTAAAGAAATGTCATGGGAATTAAAGAAATGTGTGTACAAAACAATAATCAGACCTACAATGCTATACGGTAGTGAGACATGGGCACTGAATAAGAAAGAACAGACCAACATTAAAATATGGAGGCAAAAAGACAGAAGAAGGATGGGAAAGACGAACAAACAAAGAAATTTACGAAATATTTAACGAACCCAACATATACGAAATAATACAGTCAAAAAGGTTACAATGGTTGGTGCACTTAGAAAGGATGGAGGACTAAGGACAGTAAAAAGAGTAGCTTGGACAACACTAGAAGGAAAAAAAAGAGAGGAAGGCCTAGAAGAAAATGGAGGGAAGCGATTATAGAAGATATTAAAGAAAAAAAGATCATCAACTGGAAAGAAAAAGCCAAGAATAGGGACGAATGGAAGAAACTAACCAGGCCATAGACCTTAACGGTCTGTTTCGAGCCTTATATATAATGTATTGCAGCACCTCTGTAAATTTTTAGAGGATAAACTAAATATATACATTCTCCACATACTTCTATATTTATTGTTACGCAGGTTTTTGGTATCTGAATTTATTTTAATTAAACTTTTACAATAACTCCAACTGATAACATTTACGTCTATCATAAAACTGAAAACTGACGTCAGGATCCTCGGCTTATATAGCTTGCTTGATCCTTCTCGAACCTTCTCGAAATGCCTAGAATTTTCTTGACAAATAATGACGTTTCCAGACATTTCTGGACTATTCTAGCTTCTTTTACTCGTACTTTTACTTATGATGATCACAGCACACTATAGTGTAATGGGTGACATTGCACTTCTTTTCGTATTTGTACGTTTCCTATAACGGCCGCAGGCCACTGCAAGGTGTAGTGTAACAATATACATTGCCAACGAAAATCTGAAAAGTTATGAAAAATTAAAATTTTACACTTTCCCTCCAATTTTTCCATTACGGTCTATTCTAGAGCAATCAAATTTTTCGATTACGTACTATTTTAGAAAAATTTTGTATTGAACAAGAATTTTATGAAATATATGTTAGGAGAAGAAAATTCTTAAAATAAAAGTTACTTCTAATATTATTTTTCATAATTTTTATTCCATACAAAATTTTTCTAAAATTGTCCGTATTCGAAAAATTTTAAAAATTGTAAAAAATTTAGATTTTTAAGAAAATTGTTTGAACGAAAGTTGTTTATAATATAATTTATTATAAAATAAGTTTTGTTTTATAGATGATTTCTCTAAAATGGACCGTAATGGAAATATTCGAGGAAAAGTGTAAAATTTTAATTTTTCAGTATTTTAAGTATTTTCGAGTATTTTGGAGTATTTTCAAGGGAAAAATGTTGTAATATAGTTTTTACAAAATAATCGGAAAAAGCCTGTAATAACTAGACAGGAAAGTCATGTGTTGGACACATTATATTTTTATTCATATCACCTAATTAGAGGATTCAAACAACTCGAGAAAATGCTATTCAAGCAACATCAACATCTTGTTTTGATTTTTAAAATTCAACGTAATATTTAGATAATTTTGAGATAATTGCAAACATAAGGCGTAAATACAAGAAAAATTGGCTAGCTTCGGGTGTGCTTAGTTGCACGGTTTTTTCACCACCTCCTCTTTATCTCACATTTTAAAAATCAGGAAAAGAATGTACAACGAACCAAGTTAATTTTCTAAAAATTTATTCACAAACCTAATCCGCTCCTGCAGGTTGTATTTCCAGCCACCTACACTGCATTGAGTAAGAATCTGCCGACGAGTTAATGAAGACGCAGATTGTTTAGGAGTACATTCCACACGATGACGAAAGCGGATATACAACATTTTTTAATGGACAATGATTTGTATTTTCAAGACAGCCATAAGAAAGAAGAACTTCTTAAAGTTTTACGAACAAAACAATTTAAAAAAGTATACGTCATAGATAGTAATGCTAAATACCATGGAGATTTTCCTCTTATTTTTGTATATTTAATAGGATATAAAACCACATACTTTAGATGAAAAAGTTATTTTATTGCTTCAGAGATATTAAAAAATACCTCTTTAAAAAACAAAGTTTCAACTCCTTGTAGCAAAAAATTGAAGCCGTTGAGGACATATATTTATATGAACTTTTCTTCATAAAATGACCTGAGGAATTACACCCTACAATATTAGCATACCATAAAAAACACCCTGTATAAATTGTAAAAACAGGGAAGCCTTTTTGAATTTTTAAAAAGTAATTCATGATCTGTTATCTTTAATCTGATAACAATTTTATCAGAAACCAATTTTAGTTTGAAATTTGACACGTGCTTACTAGATTAAAATCTAGAAATATTGAGTCTTTACAAATTAGTACATGCAGACTTTTGTTTAGACGCAAATATCTGCAACACCGTTAATTTTAGCTTCATAAAAAGTTTTTACTTCTTTAACTTAAAATACACAGAGAATTAAAGAAAAAAAAAAAAAAATTGTCTTAGTGGCGTGAAAGTAGGGGAAAAAATTGCCACTAGTTAAATTTTTCAAAAGTTAGTCTATATCAAAATATTACTTTGAGTTTTTATTGTTTTTTCTTTTCATTATTAAACTAAAACTACAAATGAAAACAATCATGCATTAAATTACAATATTTTTGTTAACTTTTAATATAAGTAAAAAGCATAACCAAATTAAATTTATAGGTACCTAATTTAAAACATGTGAATATTTTTTTTATAAATTAAAACAACTTTACATAAAAACAACCAATTATTACCTCCTCTTTTATGTTCTAGATGAATCACAGATTATCGCAGAGTGTAAGATACACTCGAGTTGGCTGGGTGTGTTGTATAGCATTTGGATTGTGGCTTCAACTAGTTTCTGGTAGCCTGGCGAATAAACCAAGTCCTCGTAATCACCACAGCGTTACTAAAAGATCATTCAACGATTTACAGTGTAAAGGAGTTTACGATAAAAGTATATTTGCAAGATTAGATCAGATCTGTGAAGATTGTTACAACCTCTTTCGCGAGCCTCCGGTTTACTCGATGTGCAGGTCAGTAATTCAGCTATTTATAACTCCAGAATTTTGTTTTATTTAAAATATTTCTTAAATACAGTATATATTAATCTTGTGATTTACAATTTGCATATTTTTAATAAAAAAACTATAAAAATGTAAGTTGAATGGATCTATTATTATAAAACAAATTTTACAAATTTGTTTATATTTTTTAAAACATTCATACAGTATATAAAGTATGGAATACATTCCATAACTATCAAAATATATCTACTCGGTTTAAAATTCTTAAAATCATCGATCAAGTTATAATTTTTTATTCCATATTTTTTTGCGTATTATCCGCATTCATAACGTCATATTTTTGATAACTTCCAATTTCGATAACGCCATTTGATTGGGCACAATACTGTGCGGTCCATATATATGGAATAAATTAATTTTTAGCATTATTATGTACTTTTGAGAAAAAATCTGAAACAGGTCGATTTCTATTCTCAATTTGACAATTTATAATACAAAAATATTACCCCCTCTTGCATCTTCTTTGAAATATGAGCACCATCTTGAAAATTTTAAATAAGAAACGGGGTCGTCTGGTACCTTGTTTGAAAGGGATTTAAAATATTTATTCAGCAATATAAAAAAAATAAATTTGCTGCAATCATAACTAGACAATTAATTTTGAAAACATAAAATTTTGATATCGTCTTCATAAAATTTTACGTAAAATAAAACACAGAATTTATTGTAAAAAAAACTGAAAAATACACTCTAAATATTATGTAACATTTATTGCTTCATTCTACGTTAAGTTTTGTGATGGAGACATTGTCATAATTTTACATTTTCAAAATTACACTAAATTTAAAAAACTTTATATTGATGACAAGTGAATTAAAATCCCCTTTAAACAAGGTACCACAAGACTCCTTTTTTATTTAAAAATTTAGAGAAGGTGATCATAATTCAGAGGGGGTGCAAGAATATTTTCATAATTGTAAATTGTCAAATTAAGAATATAAGGTTTTTTAAAGTACATATTAATGTAAAAATTATATTTATTTCATATATATATAGACCTCACTGTATATAGAATTCCATGTAGATACACATCTGACCAGAATTCCCTCGGAATTCGTTCGGAAGTCTCGGAATTCTTCGGAAGTCACGAAATTCTCTTAGATATTGACGAAACTCATGATGAAACTATCTTAGAACATTTAGAAAATTTATATTTAGCAAATTCCAGGAAAGAGATCCCCTTTTAGTGACTAAAAATGCATTTGTTTCCTGAGATGCTAGCCTCAAACTTGAGATGATATTACCGCTCTGCTATTGACAGATTTTCAAATCGAACGTCATCAAATGAAATAAAACTAATTAAAAAGAAAATTGAGTACCATCTACAAGTTTGTAGATCCAAAAGAAGTAATTTTGCACGTCTTTAAAGTATTAATATGTCCGAATCATTTGAATTGGACCAATAGTCTTGCATATCTATGAACTCTGAAATTTGTAATAATATGTAGCGTGTTCTATTTAAAAAAATTAAGATTATATCACCACCCCATATATGTACAGCGTGGACCGGATTTAATTTGCGTATACAGAGATCTCGTAAACCGTAAGATATACATTGTCGGTTAAATAGGAAAAAAGTTTCGTATTTTGACGGATAATACAATGGTCCATAGAAGTTCCAGATTTTCAGACTGGTTCCGGAGATATTCGATAAAATCCGAAAAACCTCATTTTTGTTTTTTAAATCGCGCGTTGTTATTATAAAAGATACAAAAAAAGTTCCCTATAATCTACTATGTAATAATTTTTATTACGATGTTTCATATTTCCAGGGCCACCTTCAACTTATTTTTTTAAATACGGACCTGGATTTTTAACTGTAATTTTTTATAGCTTTAGTATAGCTGAATACAACGATATGTTACACTTTACCATTTTACTACGTTTCGTCTATGAAAATATCATCAGCTATGTAGCTTCTGATGATACAGTTTCTTACTTGATTAAAACAAGATAGCTAATTAAATAATAATTAAAAAACAAAGAATGCTTAAAATGTGAAATTTTAAATATTATTTGAAACATAATACAAGAATTATTTAATTACAAAATGGATTACAATTTTTTATCAAACATGATTAAGTACAACCAGCAAACAAGACTAATGAAGAACGAATTATGGTTGTACACATTCTACAAAAAATAATAAAGGTAATAACAAAAACAAAATTCAAAATGTATATCTTACGGTTTACGAGATCTCTGTATACGCAAATTAAATCAGGTCCACCCTGTATACGACTATCAAATAACTTATTTTTATATGTTTTAATATGAATTATTTTTTAAAAGATAATAGAAATTGCTAGGTGAGATTTGAAGCCTGAAGCCTTTATACCTACTCATCCATTAAGAGCCGTTTACATGGGATAGTACCTTGTGATAGCACTTCTGAGAAAAACTTGCGATAGTGTCTACATATAAGCAAGTTTTAAGTCAATTTTTTTTAGCTAGCAAGTGCTCTACAGATATTACTTGCTGCAGACTTTCAGCAATTGCATGCGTTTACACGGTAGAGTATAGAGCATTCAATATAAAAACCGATACACGTCATCAATCAGTTGTGAAGTCATAGCCTTGCAGTGTTGCCCAATCTTCAAAATAGTCTAAGAATGTAGGAATTTTTAAAACTATGAGGTTATGTTTTTTTGGCTATGTTATTAGGAGCAATTAATTTTAAATGTTTAACGAATTCTGTATAAAAGCCAATGAAGGTCATTGATAATGTTTAAATTGAAGTTTTAGAAAAACACTGAATTTAATAGTAATAAATTTCGCACAAGAGGTTTAAAATGACAAAAAAAGGTTAGGTTAAGGATGAAAAAACAAACAAATTTTATTTAGGCTTGATTTAATTTACAATAAAAAATAATTATGTTCAGTTAGTTTATAAACATCCATATTTAAAAGAAGTAACAATAATTAGAACAGTTAGGTAATAAAATTAACAATACATGACATTTTAAAACTTAAATAATATTTAAGCTAAAATCAGTCAGAATAATCAGAACTAAAATCAGAATAATCTCTATTTGGTGTTATAATAATGGGAGCAATTTCCAATCGGTCCAGTCCAGTCTCTTTCACACCATTTAAAATATTCTTTTTTAGTGTGTCTTACACTGTTTGCCCACATTTGTGGGGTAATGGTTCGGAGTGCTTCAGACCACATGTCTATACAATCTCTTTGTGTCTTTCCATGCCGATCAATGTGCCTGTTATAATATTGTTTTAAAATACCCCAAATCAGTTCTATTGGATTAAAAATACAATGGTAAGGAGGAAGACGTAACAAATTATGTCCATACTGTTCAGCCAGCATATCAGCTACATATATTTTTGGTGGTTTATTACTAAAAAAATAAAATCATTTAAAAAATACAGAAAAGGTAGATTTCCATTACTCACCGTCTAACAAGGTTCAAAAGTTCAGCCTTAAACATGGTGACTGAATAAGGTATGTTCTGATTCGTCAACCACTCTTGAATTTGAACCTTAGTCGAAGTACTATTCGGTATTTTATGTACTATAGTATGAAGCATTGTCCATTACAATTAAAGATGGTTCATGAAGTCTTCGAAGCAATTGTTCTTCGAACCATTTTAAAAAATTTTCATTATTCATCTCACCGTGATAATCATAATATTTGCTTTTTGAAGTAAATATGGCCTCGGCATCATCAATAAATCCATTTTCGTTTCCAGCATGAAGAATTATATATCTATAAAAAAGATCAATATACAGTTAAAATTTATATATTCATTAGTTTTTTTTTTATTAACCTTTTACCATCAACTTTTGTACTTTTTACACTTCTTTTATTGCTGTCTTGCCTAAAACGGTTTATGGTGCCATTTTGCAAAATCCAAGTCTCATCAATAAAAACAAACTGGTACAAATTTGCTTCCTTTTATTCGATATATTTTCTTAAAAATTCTGCCTGTTTCACGGCAATATCTGGAAGTTCCATAAGACCTCGTCTTGGTTCATCTTTCTGCCATTTAAAACCTATTTCTAATAATAAGGTATGCAATGATGTGCGACATCCATTAAGTTTCACCAACAAAGAATCTAAACTTACATGCTCCTCTGAAATCATACATTAATTTGTAATTGTTTAATTATAATTTATATACATATACACTTACTAGACTCGTACATGCTATAAATAACATCTCGAATAGCACTGGTATTCAGAATTCTTGTGTGTAGGGCGCTTTTTTGGTGGTGACTTTAGAACTTCACTGTTCTTTGCAGCTTGTGAAATAAAACTAACAGTAGAAACATTGAGATTAAGTGCTTCTGCGACACGCTGAAACAAAATAATTATAGTAATTTGACGGTGATACATTATTATTCAACTCACTTCTCTTACAGCTGTTAAAGGTAACAAAGGCCCATTATTATCACGTTCTTTCTCAAAATAATTTATTAGAGAAGCCACTAGTTCCTTGCAGCAACTGTTTAATTGTTTTGGCATTTTTCAATGAAAAAATACACAATAAACGAACATCACTATTAAATTCCTAATAAATTTGTTCTGAAAATAACAGTTTGTTAATAATTTAATCTAAAATACAAATAATTTGTTGAAAAGAAATCGATCAATGCAAAATAATACAAAACAAATAACAATTGACAACAATGTATTAAAATTAAAAGCTGACACATTTGATGCCAACTTTTATTATGAAATTCACTAGAAAGTATTCCGTTAATAATCTGCCTACAGTACATTTACTACTGTGATATGATAAAAAAATACATTTTTAATATGCAATTTTATATAAATGAACTCCATGCGTCTAAATTTGTTCATTTATTTGCAAAATAAAATTTAATTATTTTTATTAGTGTATGTGGTACCAATGATTGTCACTGACGTCATCTCTGACGTGCATCGGTTTTTATATTGAATGCTCTATAGATTCTAGTTAGAGTAGAGACAT